TGCCAGTCTCAGACGGAGTCAGGGGACAGGTTCCATAGTACAGACTATAGTAATGTAGCATACTGGAAGATATTCCCGAGGTTGTTCGCTCTGGCACTACTCCGACCTCGCGAATTCACTGCCCGATTTGACCAGGTGTAGGCGGCTGTAGTGGGAGAGTACTTGGGCACACCCAGACTTGCAACATGCAGCACAGTACATAAGTTAGACCACGTCAAGGCTAGGGATCGCGCAAGCCCAATAGAAGGGATCGCAGTTTGGTCACCCAACAGATGTCCAAGCGATAAATTATCTGGTCAATCATGCACAACCGAACAATCGATTCATACCTGTTTGGGAGGTCGATACCGCCGTCGTGTCGTTTACGATTGAGTAATGCTATTTGTTTAACGAGATTACTAAATCGTTGATTTATTTGACGTTAACTGTACCCATTCTAATGAAAAGTTTAGTTATTGATATCGGTGGTTAATTATATACCTTGCGCATGTTGAATTTGTACCAATTTTAAAATAGAAAAATAGATTGAGCCAACAAAACACTGTGCTGCTAAAGAATTCCGCGTTCTCGTGTCTTTTTTCTTGTCGTGTTAAAACGAAAGGGTTACTTATTAAAATTACAATTGTCTATCATAGTATGGAATCCTGTAAATACACTACTCTTAGTAACACCATTTAATATATAACACTATTCTGTATTCAACGGCAAAACTATCTACAAAAAACACATTTTTAATTACCGTATGCTTTTTGTGTAAAAATAAAACTTCCACAGCTGTTTAGCAACAAACATTTGATCATGGTTATACTTGTAATTTTCAATTTTTCTTTCATTTACCCAGGAGCTTTGAATGAAGAATGGAGTCAGGTAGTATTGTTATTTTCCACAACTGTGTTTCTTGAAAGTCACGGCCAATGGTTTTCTTTCTCAGGGTCTTCACGGTCTCTAGGTTTGCTTCACATTTACCGAGTGAGATGTTACAATAAATATCAGTTCCTTGGCTACACCGGATGCAAGGGGGTCCATCCCAAGCTAGCGAAGAAGTTGAGATTACAGTATTGCATCATGGTTGTTCCATTTGGTAGTTAATTTAGCTTTTAAAATTCAATTAGTGCAAGCAAAATTGTTGTTATGGTCTTATGATAAAAATTTAACGAACACATTTTGTTTATCTGCTTGAAAAAATCTCTTGCTAGTATCAATTTTAGTTCTTGACCAACTAATTCCACAATCATTTTGACAGCGAAATCATGTACTAAACAAAATAGACTTTGAATCCACAACTTAGCTCGAAAGCATTGACAAGTGTACACCATGTTTGGTCAGCCTTTAAAAACTTGCAATAGCAAACAAACAATTAAGTAAAAAAAAAAAATATATTGAATATTGTAGTGCGAAAGGCAGTAGTACTCAGTTTTTAATTTGGGTGAGTGACTCATAAAACTAAATGCGCTTTTAGCAGTATTTAATAAACCGTTGCATACTATTCTATAGTCTTAAATATTAAAATTTCCCTAGGTGTTCAATATATTTTGCTTGTATCCTTAGCAATCTGCACTTTGTCCTTAGATCGTTCTATCGGAACGGAATACAGTATCCTTTAAACATGCCACACCTACAGCAAAATCATTGGTCACCACTAAGGCCAGATGCACTACGGACTAAAGGAGTGGCGGTAACTTTTCACATATATGATCATGTGCCTGTATGATTGTAGTTGAAGGTAGCAGTTTATCCTTTTCACCTTCCTTTGTTTTCCTTCTTCTTCCTCGAAAGTGTCAATACTTATAAACACACCTACTGCAAAATCAATGGTCAGCATTATTTTTATAGTCAGTTGCATTGGAGGTTGAAGTAGTGCCAGCAATACCACAAATGTGGCTACATCATGTTTATAAATAGTTGTAGGATGTAGTTTATTCAGTTATCACTCCACTATGTAGGCGCTAGGTCCTTAAAGATCACGTATACGAAGTGTTAAGAGATAACTCGCATTTACACGATTCGCCTCGCTCTTGGCACAATGTTCACCAACAAAGACCTTCTCAATATCGCCAACCTTCGGATTAATAGCTTCTTTCATAGCGATTAAGTCTTTGTGTTTATTTTATAGGCCACTAGGTGTAGCACTCAAGGTTTAATTTCTTTTTGAGGGAGGTTTACAATTTGTATTCGATTAACCACGAATTCAGTTAGGATTATTTAGGAAGAATGGACATAATGAAGTAGGTTTTATAGGATTTTTATTTTAAGGCAATTTTTATATTTTTGAACGGGAGTGTTAAGGCGGAGCAAAAAACCATGCTGGCACGCTCACTAAACATCGCATACAAGTTACGAATAAAAAGTTGTTGGCAGTATCGAATATCAGGCAAGCATACATACGTCTGATAATATAGAATATCAGGTATAAAAAAAATCAATAGATCGTATACTACGATTAAACATACAATTGATTGAAGTATCGCATTCCAAGCACAGAACAGACGATTGATTAGTATCGCATTTTAAGCACACAAGAGACGATTGCTTACGGTATTAAAATTCTATGCATAGAACAGACGATTGCTTGCAGTATCGCATTCTAAGCACAGAACAGACGATTGCTTGCAGTATCGCATTCTAAGCACAGAACAGACGCTTGATTGCAGTATCGCATTCTAAGCACAGAACAGACGATTGCTTGCAGTATCGCATTCTAAGCACAGAACAGACGATTGCTTGTAGTATTGCATTCTAAGCACAGAACTGACGATTGATTGCAGTATCGCATTCTAAGCACAGAACAGACGATTGCTTGCAGTATCGCATTCTAAGCACAGAACAGACGATTGCTTGCAGTATCGCATTCTAAGCACAGAACAGACGATTGCTTGCAGTATCGCATTCTAAGCACAGAACAGACGATTGCTTGCAGTATCGCATTCTAAGCACAGAACAGACGATTGCTTGCAGTATCGCATTCTAAGCACAGAACAGACGATTGCTTGTAGTATTGCATTCTAAGCACAGAACTGACGATTGATTGCAGTATCGCATTCTAAGCACAGAACAGACGATTGCTTGCAGTATCGCATTCTAAGCACAGAACAGACGATTGCTTGCAGTATCGCATTCTAAGCACAGAACAGACGATTGCTTGTAGTATTGCATTCTAAGCACAGAACTGACGATTGATTGCAGTATCGCATTCTAAGCACAGAACAGACGATTGCTTGCAGTATCGCATTCTAAGCACAGAACAGACGATTGCTTGCTGTATCGCATTCTAAGCACAGAACATACGATTGATTGCAGTATCGCATTCTAAGCACAGAACAGACGATTGCTTGCTGTATCGCATTCTAAGCACAGAACAGACGATTGATTGCAGTATCGCATTCCAAGCACAAAACAGACGATTGCTTGCAGTATCGCAGGCTGCTGTTGCTGCTGGGCTGTTTTTACGGTTCATCTTGTTTTTGTGCAGTCGCGCCCGACCTTCAGAGGTGACCGCCCCCTCCCAACTACGATCATTATTTTCGAATCACCGCCTTCGCCTTGCCTCGCTGTATCGCTGGTTGTAGATGCATCCTCCCACGATAGTCTTGGAATGGTCCGATTTAGCCGAGCCGTCCACAATAGTTGATCTGTAAACAATAGAATCGCCCAGCTCAGGTGGGCGTTCACCTGACGATAGCCACCTGTCCAGTAGTTTTATGGCTGTAGACGAGTCTTAATTAACTACAACGTCATACAGTTACTCAAAATGTACATTTACATAGAAGGCCTACACTGGAAAACGCAGCATTGACTTGGTCTGAGGTTTTAAAATGCGGCAATTTTGAGTTTTAAAGTCACCTAAATCGCTAACATCGACTTTTGACGCAAGGGACGTTTTCTTCGGGATTCCACATTTCCAGTTTAGTTTCCTTCTACAATATTTGAGTTACTTCTCACTTTCGTTGAATATCTAATTTTGTAGTAAATCCACCTTAGCAGTTTGTTTGACCACAGTATCTGTCCTATGAAAAAGTATCGTAATGCTTTAAGTTATGTCAGTAGTGGGAGTTTTCCTCGCCGCGCTATCACAGCTTAAAACTTCTCGTTTCTTAGTTTCATTTCTAAAAAGTGGCATTTCGTTTCTTGCACCAAACAATTTCATCCGCACAGTTGCCAACCATATAAGCTCGTCTTGAATGTAAGGGATAACAAAGAGAGCCATTACCAGATACTGTATACTCACCGTACCGTGCCTTGTAAGGCGTTCGACCACCCTCTATGAAACTTTAGAAGGGTGAAACTCACAACAGCCCAATATGGCTACATGGTTACTGACAGGGCCTAGCAGGTGTAAGGTGACACCTGGAATGTGTGGACTAAACACTACACTTCAGTACTCTATATGGCCGTGGATATTTGTGAAACTAGAGTAACTAGTTGGCAAAGTGTGGTGAGGTGTCTAATGTTATTTTGCAGTTTAGCGTGGTTCTGGTGGATAAAATTAACTTGAACACTATCACTATTATCATTATGATTATGAGATGGGGGAGGGACGTATTTTAGCCCAAATGTAAGTGAAGGATGAGTGTAGAATGGTGTGAGATGATCTGTGTAGCTTTGTTACTGACTAAGATCAGCTGTTTCATGAGCCAGGATTGTTATTATTAAAACTCTTAATCATGTACCGAACAAATTTCAGATATGAACACCCCTGGTGAACCTAACCTAATAAACAATTTTACAGAGTTTACTGTGTACAAGCATAATATTCCTTACTTCAACTTCTCTACACCATTAAATATCAGAAATGCGTTAGATTTTATAGTACGATATTTAAGAAAATTTAATCACTCAATAATTTGAAGTTGCAGAGCTTCTCACAAAGTCAATTGTGTTAGGGTACTTTCAGTTTTACCCGACGGATATGACTCAATAAATTACCATATTACTCTGCTGTTAGGTGTAGAGTCAGCTGATGTTTATGTAGCAAGTTGTGCTGACTCTCGTATTCTGTGCAGGTACAACCACGTGACTTGGAGTACATACAGTGACGTCACCAGCAAAGGTAAGTTTCTGCATGTTACAACACTATAGAAATTGTAGAATACGTAGTACACTTGCTTGAATTTTAATTACTTATTTGCTATTTTATTTTTGAAAATAATACAAACTAAAAAAGGTTAGTTTTTTATGGATAGAACTAGACACTCCATCCTCATCGTTATGGTTTAGTCAGCTTCAGCTGAGGTATCACTTAGTATATAACAGCTGTTTCTTATTTCTCTGAGGTATCACTTAGTATATAACAGCTGTTTCTTACTTCTATGATGCATCACTTAGTATATACAGCTGTTTCTTACTTCTCTGAGGTATCACTTAGTATACAACAGCTGTTTCTTACTTCTCTGAGGCATTACTTAGTATATACAGCTGTTTCTTACTTCTCAGGGGTATCACTTTAGTATAAAACAGTTGTTTCTTACTTCTCTACAGTATCACTTAGTATATAACAGCTGTTTCTTACTTCTCTGATGCATCACTTAGTATATATACAGCTGTTTCCTACTTCTTTGAGGCATCACTTAGTATACAACAGCTGTTTCTTACTTCTCTGAGGCATTACTTAGTATATACAGCTGTTTCTTACTTCTCAGGGGTATCACTTTAGTATAAAACAGTTGTTTCTTACTTCTCTACAGTATCACTTAGTATATAACAGCTGTTTCTTACTTCTCTGAGGTATCACTTAGTATATAACAGCTGTTTCTTCTGCCAGGGCAAAGTGTTGAATCCCATTAATACATTTTTGTAGAACTGTTTCGTCCCCTTCTATTTCTACAAATAGACTCTTAACGTAGAAATTCTATCTCTACGTTAAGAGTCTTCCAAAGTGGAAGCCATGTTGGATTTCTTCCCCATAAGAACAATGTTACCTTTGGGTCCAAATATCTCATCAGCAAATTGTCATATAATTATGGATAAGGAGTTAAATTTAAGGAATTGCGGTCCTCTAGAGATTGACGTTTTTTATTTCACAATTTTTAATTTTTATAATGAATAATTGATTATTAATTAGCTTAAAATTAAGCTAATTAGGCTACATTAGAATCAAAACACGAATTTCTATAAGCTCTTGAAGTTTTTATCCTCTTGTTGTAAACTCAATTCATTGACACAATCATTGCAAAACTCAATTCCCGCTCTCAAACAGCCGAAAAATTCCAATTTCGTAGCTCGCAGTTTATATCCCAGTTTCTACTAACGTGATGTCCGCAAGCGAGCATGGTCGGAACGTCGGAACTCCATTGTAGAGAATGAAGGTCAGAAGGTTTCCCATCTCGCAGTGTTTCGCACTCGCGGAACAAAAGGTATGCTTATTAGAGTTCGTTCACACCGTGCGGGCGGACACAATATGTAGTTAGCATCGGAGCAACGAGCCAATAGGCATTCACCATTCAGCAGACAGCAGACAACATCGTGCATCTCATGATGACGTCAGCCTGTTGACATTTTCCTTATCACCTTGACAACCAACGACCTACCATGTCACAAAGTAATTCTTCTAAGGTAACGACTCAGGTGCAGTCAGCTGACAGCAGACGACATCGTGCATCTCATGATGACGTCAGCCGGTTGACATTTTCCTTATCACCTTGACAACCAACGACCTACCATGTCACAAAGTAATTCTTCTAAGGTAACGACTTAGCTGCAGTCAGCTAACAGCAGACGACATCGTGCATCTCATGATGACGTCAGCCGGTTGACATTTTCCTTATCACCTTGACAACCGACGACCTACGACCTACCATGTCACAAAGTAATTCTTCTAAGGTAACGACTTAGCTGCAGTCAGCTAACAGCAGACGACATCGTGCATCTCATGATGACGTCAGCCTGTTGACATTTTTACCTTGACAACCGACGACCTACCACGTCACAAAGTAATTCCTCTGTAACGACTCAGGTGATTCATGTCACGATCCGGTTTAATTGCCGATTTGAGAGTTCGCAGAGGTGCTTTATAGGACTGGACCTCCGTAGGTGTTCAATTACCTGCAGATTTATGACGCAGTAACCACCGTGAGCTTAACGGTTGACGGGATTTATGAAGTGACATTCTTCAAAAATGTTTGTCCAGGGGAATTTTTGTCAAAGAAGTCAGGGTTCTCGCCATTATTCGTTCATTAGATTTTTTAAGACGCTAACATTTAGATGCGTATTTTAACACAAGAAATAGTGAAGAATGTTGAATGAATTGAATGGTTTACTGATTAAGATCAGCTGGTAATTTAACCAGGACTATCCGTAAAAACCTAATGATCAAGGTCGTCTGCGTGTAGGTTCCAATCATCAAAAATTTTCTCAGTTTTCTCAGGATCAAATCACCAACCTTCAGATTAATTGGTGAGAACTAAATCCATTTATAGGTTATTTGATAGATGGTCAACAGACAGGATCCATCATATACTATAGTTTCCCAGCTATGAATTTGATATTGATTGTTTATCCATGCAGACCTTTTTCGTGGCAGATGGATCGAACTGTAACTCGAAACCGTTTCCAGACAAAAATATCTTTGTTATTTGCTTCCAACTAACTAGGTTTTACAAAATGACCATTCCTCTACTCTAGTATTGCACAAAAGAGAAATCCTTCCCGAGGAAGTTCTTGGAAGTTCTCCGGTGTCCGCCGTCAGCCGCCGGCAAAGGTAAAAGGTAAAGCTCGTTGAGTGGGAGTTGGAAGAAATAGGAAGAGAGAGGGGAGCAGCAAGCGAAGCACGATCATCATGACTTAAAGACACGCAATAGAATGATCCATTTCTCAAGGGCCATCTCTGCACTACTTGAGCTCACACCACTTTCCACCGGCAAACCGTTGATTTTATCTAGAAAACAATCTTGTTCTCCTTGAGAACTGCATTTCTCTCGGCAATGCATGGTGTTTGCATCAGTCTGAACACAGTCTGTCTCGGTGTAATTATGATGAATCACCGCGTTTTTCTACTTCTGATATTTGCTACCTCTTCCTTGTAATCAAGTTCAAAGACATAAATATAGGTTAATGCTGTGTTGTAAGGTTTAACCTTTGACTATAGTCTCTCTGTGAAGCTGTGAAGTGGAATTCCTTCCTCAGGGAAAAACTTTAACAAATAATTAGTTAATTAAGACACCTACGAAGAGTCTTTAAAAAGTTTGACATGAACTCATTAGGTTAGTATTTCTTCAACACTAGACAGTAAATATTGGTTGAAATAATTTAACATTTGGGAAATAGAACAGAATCAATATTTGTGATACGAATTTTATTTTAGATTCTTTATAAGTAGGCTGCACCTGACACCTTGGAACAGCTAAATACCATACACACCATAAGTGCACATTTTGCAAATTTAGACAATCATGAGAGGTAAATCAGGAGGAACAGCATTTACTTGCTTACAAACATGATTTGGAGATCAAATCAGGAGACTCACCTGTATCCGATCATGGTTGCAGTATACAATTGAAATCGATCGCCCTTCACAATTTTTTACTGGCTTGTATGCGTCCTATCCGTAATTTCATTTGTCTTTTGGTTTTGTTGTTCCGAATTAGACCTAAAACACTCGCTCACTATACTTATCTTTCCCCTGTCCTGTACTCGGTAATGAAGGCACCGGGTCGACGGGTGGAGGCAGAAAGCGAACCAGGACGCAGAGATAGATAGTTCCATAACTTTCACGAGCACAAAGACACCTAGTCGCTGACTGCACTCTGACCTGCGTGACGTAATCACCGACCACCGCCTCCTAGATCATCCGTGGCATTGTGGGAAAACTCGCCACTGCCACTACGATCACAACGTCGTCTCTGTCGTTCAAGCATTGATTATATACTGGTACAGATGTATATAGATAGTACATCAATCTGGAAACAATCCTAACGGTTACTACAATCATGGCGAGCATTTATTATATACACTTATTTTATAACATGATTAAACAGATTGGTAAAGGTAATAATCCGGTAATAGTGAAGGTAAAAAGATTGGCAATAAACCAGGAAACACTCACTGCCTCAACAATCATAACAATGTCTCTGCTGCTCTAGAATTAATTATACACCGCCAGAGATGTATAAATCAATCGTTCCAGAGAACTAACTGTCTACGTAAGAACACTCATTACTGCCATCACAATCACAACATAGTGTCTGCTGTGCGAGCATTGATTATACACCTCTTGAAATGTACAAAAAGATAGTAAATCAATCGTTTCTGAGAACTAACTGTCTTCATGAGAACGCTCGCCTCTGCCACTAGAATCACAATATTATCTCTCTTGTTCAAGCATTTATTATACACCCCTTCATATGCATAAATTAATATACAACGCTTCAGAGAACTATCGTGTTCTAGCTGAAGAACTAGTCTTCGGCGTTTAATTCGTGATTAAAAATTGTAAAATTTAAATTAGGTTTTTATATAAAGTTTTTCTTGTAATATTAGGATTTTAAAATAGGATTTGGAAAGTACGAATATACTGATTAAAATGAGTATACGGACAACGGAAGTTTGGTGTTTCCTGGAGACTTTAACGCTGGAGTGTACTTAAGCCTCTCTCCAAAGTAGCAGGCACAAGTTCTGGATACGTTTAGAACTGCAATATTGCGCAGTAATCGTAATATGAAGTTGTCAATTAGGGGATTGCCCAACTCCGCGCAGTGGTCAAATTTAATCCGAGGAAAAGTTTTATGGCCCCCGAAGGGTTCAGCCCAACTCCGCGCGGTGGTCACTTTTAGGGCCAATTCCAACTCCGCGCGGTGGTCACTTGTAATATTAAGGTTACCCGTCAATTACAGACCCATCAAAAAGTGTTTGAGACAGGGTAAAAAGTGTGAAATGTCAATAGTTACGTGTTAAATGAATTCATTTGACAATTTAATCAAAATATGTTCCTTTTACAGGATTTTACAACAGTTTACTCATTCTCCATAAGAGTAACATAAGAATTTAAAAATAAGAATTCTTTGGCATTTTTTCTGTAACTATTCTGGCGCTTTTACGCTTCGATATACTGAATTA